AGAGGTGGCAGTTGTAAGCTCTTAAAAATGTGTAATTACTACTGCTTTTCTAATTGCAAGCTACTGCAGATACCCCATATCAAACCGCTACAATTGAACATCGCATTATTTCTAACTTCTCTCTTGTCAGCAACACTCTAAAGAACATTCTTATGTAGATAATTATTTTCAAATACCTATAATTATTTCCTTAAAAATTTCTATAAGTAAAATCCCTAAAGTTTATCCAGTTTTAAAAGCTTTTGATACATACTGTCAACTGTCTACCAGAAAATCTGAAGCAACCTAGACATCGCAAACCTGACCAACAAGGTACTATGGTTAAACAACAAAACATTTTAATGGGTGAAAGGTGGAAAGGCGTTGTTCCATAGCTTTATTAGTGAGGTTCAACATTCGTGTTTGTGGTTAATTGCTTATTAAATTTTTTTTTTTTAAAGATTTTATTTATTTATTCGACAGAGACACAGGGAGAGAGGGAACACAAGCAGGGGGAGTGGGAGAGGGAGAAGCAGGCTTCCCGCGGAGCAGGGAGCCCGATGCGGGGCTCATTCCCAGGACCCCGGGATCCTGACCTGAGCCGAAGGCAGATGCTTAACGACTGAGCCACCCAGGTGCCCCTGCTTATTAAATTTTTATTGGGGTGTTCATCTTTCCTTACTGATTTGTGAAACTCATTATATGAAAGATAAACCCCTGTGACAGTTTGTTTACCAAGAACACAGGCAGAAATTCCTTTTGCTATGTTTTATCTTTTAATCTCATTGTCCCTTATTTACTCAATTTTCATCTCATAGAAACTTTAATTAACAAGGTTCCCTTAACAATCTTTAAAAACCAAGATGTGGGTCATACTTGTTTCTCATTACGATGCTGTACATTTACTTGTATTCCTGGTCACTTTTGTCCCATCCTTATTTCTCTTCCTTCTTTTATGGCATGTCAAACTCCTGCTCCTTTCTGGAATAAGGTGAGGTATAATTAAATATGTAAATATTTTTACTATTTACTAACATTTTATTGTGCAATAGGACTCCCCATCCTACGTTTTTATGAAATCATCTTCCACAAGAGGGACTTTGAAGGGCCTGAAAATTTTAAAGGGTAGAGGAAACTAAAAAGAAAACACGCTGACAGTGGTAGTCTATACCAATTTTAAAAAAAGAATGTAATTCCCAACCTTGAAATGAGTGTTTTATGTGAAGCTCATAAACACATCTGATTCTCTTGATTATCATGTCCAAGATTGGCTTTAGAGTAACAGGGATAGGGGTGGAAATTCAGAGGAGGCTATTTTGGAAATGGAATTGGCCATAAATTGATTGTTGAAGCTAGGGGATGCTATAGGGAGTTCACGGAATATTTTCCTCATTTTTGTGTGTGCTTAAAGGTTTCCATAGTGAAGAGTTCAATACAGGGGGAAAAAATCATCCATAATCTCATCAAAAGCATCTGTTAATACTTTGGCATATTTCTTTCCAGTTTAAAAAAACGACAACAACACCGTGTAGGTTGAGAAATGTGAAATCTCTACACTAAAATAAATTATCTCCTCTTTTTCTATTACATTCTTGTGCATCACAAACCCCAAACTGGATTTGGCAGTTGTATCCCACACTATTATCCAGACAAATCCTGTGCGTTCTGAATGAGGAATCGGGGGAGGAATGTACCTCATTTACCTTCAAATGCCCTGGTTACATTTCAATCTTCAAATGTGAAACTAAGCCACCAAATAAGCCAAATCTGAGATATTTATGCTTTCTCTCCAATAGGGAGAAAGGAAATGTAATGGCCAATACGGTCATACTCAAGTACCCTCTGGAGTTTTAAACCCAAGCTACTTGATTAACACCCTAGCAAGCCAGTCCCCTGTAATTTACCCTGCTGTGGCCGGGCTTTCTCAGGATTCCTGAGACCTCATGCAGGGGGAATTCCTGGGTTAAAGGAGGTGCACAGGTTTCGTGATTTAGTTACATAATCAAGCAAAACTTTTATCGCCGGCCTGAGCTAATGAGTACCAGCCTCTCAGCCTAGGAAGTGAGGCCGTGGGATTTCAGCTCCTCAGACCACGCCGGTCTGCAGCACACATTTCACTCGCCCACAAATCAGCTTTTGTTGCTACTTCTGTTTCATTTTATTTCTTCTCCTGACTTTATTAACTTTTCCAAGAACAGAAGCCACCTTCTCTTGTATCCTCCCCGGGAGTCAAGTTCAGCTGGGGTCCCCAACACTGGGTAATTGTGTCATTTGAAACAAAGAATTATTGTCCTTCATTTGTGAAGAGGCAACATGCCCACCTACTACGCTAGGAAAGAACCTTTGAAGTGTTTTTGTTTTGCTGAGAGGAGGTGTGATTTCCGAGCACACTCTGGTTGGGATCGCAGGTACCGGACGGCACTGACAAACGGCGCGTCTACACTGCTGACAGCGACTGGCTTTCGCTCTCACACCTGTGTTAGGCGGTTATCCCCAGGAGGCCTCATCTTCTCAACTGCACACATCCTGGACGGGCAGGATCCACGTTCGGTTTCCTTGTACTCTGCGCGGGCCTCTTCCACACCTGTCTGCTCTTGGGGGAGGGGCTCTTCTCTGCCTGCCAGGCCAGTGTCCCCAAAACAGGAGCAGCTGAAGATGGACCGCAAAGGTCTAACGAATGAGTTGTTGAAGTCCTAATGTGTAATTAACCTCCGACGTCGAGGGCAGAACCAGACAGGAGCCAGAAGGATGGTACTGGGCGCCCCGTTTGCCTTGAGGGGCCCAAATCCCAATTCAGCGAATTCAGATGTTGCTTACCTTCCAGCGGATGAGTAAATTTAGAATCATTTACAAGTTCACTGAACCTCATCCAAAATGGCAGGGTTTTTTTTTTTAATTAAAAATTTAAATAACGTTTAAATACCTATGAACCCACCACAAGAACCAGAAGATAACCAGTAACATACGAACCTGTCCCTCCGTCTCTGCCACCCTCCCACACACCCCACTGGTAACCACAGTCCTTTTGTTCATGTTATAAAAAGGGTATCGTAAGGTAGGTGGTCTTCTTTTTCTAGCTGCAGCTGAAGTTCCTATAAATGCTGCCCCTAGAGCACTGGTCCCCTGGGGAGCCCCTCTAAGCCTGGACGCCACTCCAACACTGGCCACGAGGACGGGGTGCCCACGCCAGGGACACATTTTCTTGGACACCCGCAAGGCGTCCTCTTCACGGGTCCTTATCCTCCTCCCTGCCCCCGGCACTAAACTAAGTGAAACTGGACGACTGGGACTCTACACCCGACTTTCCAGCTGCAGACCCTTACATCTTGAGTAGACAGTTCCTGTTTAGGCAGGTACCCGGGTCGATGGACAGCACTTGAAAGCTTCCAGCCAACGCTCTGCCTTCCCACAGGGAAAAGCATAACCCACACCTCCTGAGGGGAAGGACAAGGCACATGTGGTTAAGTGTTCCATCTTCGTCTGAATCCTGGCTCGGCTGCTTCCTAGCTGTGCACCTTGGATGAGCCACGTGCCCTCTCTGTGCTTCTGTTTCTGCATCTCTAAAATAAGGGCAACCCTACAAAGTGGGGCTGTTAGGACCCTTCAAAAACTACCGTGTGCCTTGGTCCGTGTCTATGTTAGCAGTATTTTACATACATACACTGTCTCCTCGTGGAAGCCCCTCTCTATAGGTCCTGGTTATGTCATCCCCTTTAACAGAATGGAGATGAATAAATTAGGACATGATATCACCAATTCATGATCTTCAGCCATGGAACCTCAATGCTCTGTATAGGACGGAGTATAGACCATACAATCTTGTCTTCTGAGGCCATGTCCAGACGCAGAAAAGATCCAAATCCCCGGAACGAAGCTGTTCTCTCAGCCTGGTCTTGCCTCCTCGGCACGGGGCGGCCTTTGCACCCCCAGGGGCTTAGGCTGGTGCTCTGGGCCCTCTGATCTATGCCAAGCATTGCTGCATCATCCCACTGCCAGTGATAAAAAGGACTTGAGAGAACCCTTTCCTGGTGAAATTGTGGATGGACAACCCTACTTTCTCAACACCGTGAGACAGTGACATGGTACTGCAAAGTAGTTTTATCATCCAGTTTGAAGCCCAATATTGGCCAGAACAGGATTCTGGACCCTTAACAGAAATCAACACCATTAACCAACCCCTTCAATCCCACCCCAACCTCTACGAACCCAATCCTACCAAGACCCAGAAAACAACAATGTAAACAACATCCATACTCACTTTATTTTCAAACAGAGGGTCATGTACCCAAAGGGAAGCAGGACTAAGAGCCACTGTGGTCATCTGCCTTAGACTTCTGGCCCCAGAATGCCTCGTGACCCAATGGCTATGGGGATGGAACTGCCCCTTGATGGTACACATCTTAGAAAGGTCAATTCCCCCATTCCCCAAAGGAAATGGAGAAAAGGAGGCAAGAAGTCAGTGAGTCCCCGGAATACTGCCTCAGAATCATTCCAGGGACGGTGTATGACTGACCGTCAGTCCACAAATGTGAGTGGGAGGGGATCTAGGAACAATGGTGGTGCTGGCAGAAAATTATCCTGGATGATGTGCACCCAACACCAGGATACACCTTTCATTAGAATGAAGGGAGCAGACAAAGCCCTCGGAAAAGACACAGAGGCAAAGAGCACATTGATTAGAACATTATCTCGTAACAGAGGTGGGGCCATTTCCCACCATTATTGTAGAATAACTGTAACTAATCAAAACACATATAGGCCTCTTTAATGGAGTTAATAAAACTACGGCAGAATGGGAACTAGGGGTAGAGGAGAGGGAGCCATGCTGACAGGCCAGGTAGGTCCACGCTAAGTTCTTAGAAAGGAGCCCTGGTCCGGAAAACAGCAAATACCCACGATCACGATGTGGGGCTGAACCAGGGGAAGCCAGGCCGAGCCACAGTGAAGTATGCTGATGGCTCTCCAAGGGTTATCCCTACTCTTTATCCCCTCCAGTAATGTGTAAGACCGGAAGTGTGGAAACACCGGGTTTTTATTTCTGGGCAATCTGACAGTTTGCCTGGGAAGGGAAAGGAGAGTGGACACCCGTCTCCCACGGCAGGTCATGGGGAGTGGCAAGGACTTCCAGCCGTGACGAGCGGAAGGAGGCAAGGCAACAAGATGCCTTATGCCTAGGGTAGGGTTATGGCCAACAGCCCTCCTGGCCCGAGTTCACCTCCTCAAGGGGAGGTCTCCATGGAATGAGCATGACTGCCAACATGGCCAGAAAACCCATCGATGCCGCTCATGGGGCAGATGATGAGAGGGGCTGCGCTCTTCCCTCCCGAGTAACTCAGACTGAAGTAGGGCCGGACAGGCCCACAGAAGGTAGCGTGAGAGAAAGTAAAGGTGTGACACCTCTCTGTCACGTTGTAGAAGGAGACCTCGCCAGCATCATAGTCCAAGAAAATGCCCACCCGCTGGAGCGGGGTCCGCAGGGGGAGGGCAGTCATTGGGGAAGTAAGAGCCCAGTATTCTTTCCCATACCACAAGGACACTGCCCAGAATCCATTCTGGGGGGCCGAGGTGACTCCACCTTTTCTGCACACTGAGTCTTCACAGACACCTATGGTCCACTTGGCTTTATCTCCCACCTCTACCTCCCAGTAATGTCTCCCAGCGATGAAGCATGGAGAGCCCAAGACACAGGGAAAGAGATTGAAACGCTCGGGGTTGTCAGGCAGGTCCTGCTGGAGGTAACTGTACCGCACTTGCCGCAGGTTATCGGAGAGGATCAAGCTGGGGTAGGCTGTGTCTGGGTCCAGAGTCACATCCACTGCGGAGACACAGAGGGGACGGGGGGAGGGTCAGCCGAGGGCCAGGAGAGCACACCGGAGGACACCCAGCTCGTTCCTACCCCCCCTGCCCCGAGAACACAAGCATCCCACGAGAGGCTGCATTCATCTTACGGAATTCATCCCGCAGTTTACATTCCAAAAATCATTGTTTGGAATAGCTGATTACTTTCCTAAGCCAAGATATATTGAAGGTACTGAGATTTTACCTCCATTCCCTCTCTTTTAAACATCTTAAGCCACAGTATCCATTATAAACTGAATTCCCAACTTAAATTTTGGGGTTCTGCATATGTGAATAGGGGACTGAAGCCTGTATCACTCTTCTGGGGGTGCCTGGGTGGTGCAGTCGGCGCAGGTCGTGATCTCAGGGTTGTGGGATCGGGGCCCCTGACAGGCTCTGTGCTCAGAGCGGTATCGGCTTGGGTTTCTCTCTCCCCCCTCCCTCCACGCGTGCACGCACACTAACATAAATAACCTTAAAAAAAAAGAATCACTCTTTTATATCCTCCATTCCATGAGATCTTTACTCAGCCGTGCAAACCCCGTTCATCTTTTTCTAATGTCCCATGCAACACCCACGAACTCCTCAAAAAGCCGCTGTTAACCAGCCATCCCACTCTCCCTCTCTCCTAAACCAGCAACTGCCACCCATGCCATGGGCTCAGGTGCTCAGTAGTACAACATCTTGCATCCGTGTGCTGCCTTCCTGCTTTAAAGCCCTGGTGTGATTCCCTCAGCTGCTGTTCAAGTCTTGCTCAGGAGGAAAGCTCCCCAGCCTCTCCGGACCTCGGCTCAGGCAGGCTAAGTGACTCCCACAGAAGGGTCACGACGGGCAACCGTGGAGGTGGCCAAGAGCCCCGGGTACCAGGCTCGTGGTTCAACCATCCGTGCAGAGCAGTCACTGAGCTGTCCCCCAGGTCATGGGTGTGCCTCATACCCCAATCAGACACCACACTCCGAGCTCTCCTGTTCCCCCATAGAAGCCCGCACAGCGTTAGACAGTGTAGGACTTATGCACGGTATCCAGCTAATACTTGCTGAAAGAACAAATATGGATCAGTGGCAGAAAGAACACCTGACTGATGTACATCTCTCTTCACGGATGATTCCAGCTAACGATGGGAAGTACACACCTGACATTGAGTACCCCTGGGCCCACAGATGCACCCGGTCTCCCGACCCTTCGGTGACGGTGACCATCAAGGGGAGCTTCGATTCCTGCCCCAGCAGAGAGCGGATGACCCGAGATTCCTACACTCCCCAGCACTCAGAGGAAGAGGCGGGCCCCCTAACTTTCTGGAAGGATGACTGCTTTTTGCAGAGCACACACTGGGGACTGCAGCTTCTACTCAAGCACCTGAGCTTGATTTCCGCCTACTTCAAAGGTCATTGGCTTCAGCTCTGAGGCATTTTGGGAGGCAAAGATATTTTAAACATACAGAAACAATCAATGGTTTTTTTTGTGGTTGCTGTTTATCACTTTGATACACGTAATCTAAAGAACCCCAATTCAGGCCATTTCCACAATCATTCACAACAGTAGTTAAGTCTTTAGGACTTTTACTCCTGTTTCCATATGGTTTTGTCTCCATCACCTACCTGAGTATAACTGAGCTTCTCTCAATTCTGAAAGAACAAGAGAGAAGAAGTTAGGCATGTGTGAGTATTTCCAAGGACTACCTAACTGAAGGAGCTCCCGTTAGAGTTCCCATCGGCTACGGTCCCATTAGACAGCCCGGAACTGCCGCTGTCAGTCGTGTGCTGACTTTATGCACCATCTGACTCCATTGCTCAACCAAGAGCCCTAAAGGAACAGGGACAGCCCTGCAGGGGGAAAGACGGTTCCAAGTCCACGTCATATGCAACTCTCGGCTTTCATAAGCCACCTCTGTTCTAGAGGCTGGGTGGATCAACTGGGAGATGCCCACTGCCATGCTGGGGCAAACAAGACCACCCCAGAGGCACTTAAACAGCGGACAAAGCATGTTCACAAATAAGCTCTCACGAGCCTTTTAAGTGGCAGGGGAGAAGGAGAAATCAATGAGAGCCTGATCAAGGAGTCATGCCTTCCGGTGTCGCCCACGGTGTCTAGTGCAGTTTGTCCCTATTTGTTTGATGGTGGAAGACATTCGAGTGTCCCCTACATATGTATCTGAAGAGATAAAGTGCAAACAAGGTCTTAGGATACATCACACACAAAATCACCAGAGATTGTGGGGATTTGTGATGTGTAACAATTAAGAAAAGGGTTTACCTACATACAGAGGTTTCAGATCCTACTAGACTGTCCAGGAATTTTAGCACCTAGGATAGAGCCAACTCCTAACCGAATGTGGCTCATGAACAGAAAATTTCACACGTAGAAGGGCTTCCCTTGAATACTTAAACCACTTTACCTAATAAGCGCTGCTTGATCCGCCCGTCCCGGCCGGCACCAAATGCCCAGGGGCAGGGGGAGCTCGGCAAATCATAACTTTAAATACCAGCTCAAGTGAAATGCAGCTAGGATAGTTTCTGTTCATTCTTTACTCTGGATTAATTCATTTTTGGACCGCCTGTTTTTCACCCCCCATCAAAATAGACTGAAAGCTGAGTGCATATAAAGGACTTCATATTCAAAGAAGAGGCTATTAATTGAAACCATTAAAGCAAAAGGAAGATGCAGAAGATCCGAGGCTGGCCAGTGAGTGTCAACCTCCCTCACACTTCCCCCCACTTTTAAAGCAGATGTCCATCTTCCCAGGAAACTTCAACATCAAAAGCCCAGTAAATAGATGAATTTACCTTGGATTTTCTCCATATCTGACTGCATTTTTTCTAAGGAGAGAAAAGACGACCATCAGTTTGCATCCCACATCTGGCTGGAAAATATATACCCCTCTCAGTCAAGACACAGATATTCAGAGCATGAATGCATTTCCCCTGATGGACCCCTCTCCTCACATTACCTGTGAACTGCTTCAGGCTCTCGGTCAAGAATAGACATTTTTGTGCAAAAATGTGGATTTTCTCTTGCAGATCTGGAGGTGTGATCCAGGGCTCAGGGATCCTGATTCTTTCAGCTCTAAGTTTTAAAAAAAAAAAAAAAATGAGTAACTCCCTCCCCCACCCCCACACCTTGAGGGGCCCAGACAAAGCCCGGGTTAGACTGACTGGCAGGTCCTTATAAGCAGCCACCACACTTCTCTCCCTGTCCTCCTAGACTGTCATCCTCTAGACAAGAGCAGGAGAAACATCTTACTCATATTCATTCCCCCCATAGCACCTAGCGCATGGATTTTCAAATGGCTTGTCCTCAAAAAGGTTTACTGAATTAAACTGAACATAAGGCTGACCTTGCCAGAAAGCACTAGATTCCTAGACAAAGTCCTGGAGATTCATGGTGGGCAACAACCCAGAGCCCTCGGGTTCCCAAAGAGGGTGAGAAGCCCTCCAGACAGGTACCCGCCCTGCTCAGGGGGTCCATGGCAAGAACCGATTGCCGGCTGCCTCCCCAATACCCCATCTCCCATCTTCCAAATTATACGGGGTTCGTGGCTGCCCAGTCTAGATGGGACCTTGTGACCGAGCTCTGGCCGATAAGAGGTAAGGAGTGTCTCGTGGTAATTTGAGAAGCCTGCTTAAAAGGAGTGTGCTGTGATTTTACCCCCCGGGCTGGCTGAGCGATCTCAGACTGCCAGATCGAGGACCAGGACTCAGGGACAGCAGGAGAGTGAAGGGAAGGAGACCAGCAGCCCAGCCCAGGGCTACCTACCTGCACATTTCCTATATGGCAACAATGTCTTAAATTACGTGTAAGCCTTAAGCCAATGAAATTTTGGGTTTCCTCTCTCATATAGCCAAACCCAAGCATTAATGTCACAAAGTGCGAGGCTCTGAAGATCTAGCTCCCTGTGCTGGACCAGAACGAGACTGGCATTGAAAAGCAAAGGTAACAAGTCAGGGCAGTAATTGCTAGGGCCATCAGGCTGGGACTGGACACGTTCTAACCCCTCTCCCTCAAAACCCTCAATTTTACCAACATAATCTACCCACATGGCACTCCCAGCCAACCCAACCCATCTACGAGGCCCTGCCCCAGCCCCGCAAAGGTTCCCACACAGCCCGGCTGCATTCCTCTGGAGGGTTTTCACCATTCAGTATCTGCACCAGCTTCAAAGTTCAGCTCCTTCAAAGTCAGTCTCTGTCCCTGTGGGCTCTCCTGCACAAACAGCATGTTCCCAAGGCCGACCCTGCCTGCCCTCACGTCTGCCCTGCAACACAAGCGAGCCTTGCCATCTGCCCACTTAGAGGTCTCCCTGCTCCCAGAGCTTCTCCTCACCCCCCACCTGATGACACAGCCGAGCAATAGTGAGGATGAGAGCCAGAATCCAGGTGACCCAGCACTAATTCTGTAACTCTGAGCCAGTCACACTCTTCTGAGGCCGTATTCTCCCCTTTACGGAATTAGGGGGCAGTAGCGGGAGGACTCGGGAACCCTGAAGCAGCAATGACCACAAGAAACCGTGCACCTCGCCCAGGTGTGTGTGAGCCTTCACTCTCCATGGACGCGTCCTCACAAACCATGGTAGCCCCATCCTACCCTCACCCTCCCAATTTGCCAGTAATTCCTGAGCTTTACTGAGAACAGGTCCATCTAGCTCTTTGCACACAAGTGACTTGTTCAGAGATGGGCAGGGTATGTGTCACTCTGGTAAGATGTCCTTCTCAGGGCTCCTTCCAGGATTTATGAGCACGAGGGAAACATCCTCCTGCACTTGATTTAACACTGGGGAGGGAGAACACGGTACCTGCTCAATGTGTCCCCGATGTCCTACAAGAGAAAAGAAAAGGGTAACCATGAGAAGTCGTAGAAGTTGTAACTTCAGTCTTCTTTCAGATGTTTGCTGAAAACCCAGCTACTGGGTGGCCCTCCTGCGAGAAGCCAGGGAGACAAGGAACAGGACTCACAGTCAAGGAGCTAAAAATCTGGGACGCACGCTATTTCCTACCCCAGCATTTCCTATGTCCTGCGCCTGCCCTACTGGCCAAAGATCTCACGACTTCAAATTCCCTACCAAGTATCCTACCCTTGGACCACAACTGCCTACTTGTCCTGCTTGCTTTGACTTTTTATTGTGAAGTAATTTCAAATACACAGAAAAGCTGCTAGCACAGAGCTCCTGTATACTCCTTCCCAGACTTACCAGATTATTATAACCACGTTTATATTCAGAACCATTTGAGAGATCACTCTTCCATTATATAATGTATCTTTGCCCCCTTAGACTTCTGTATTTCCTAAGGGCAAGTACATTTTCTTACACAACTACAGTCCAGTTATCAAACCCAGGAAAAGGAACATTGATCTAATGATCAATAAATCAATGATCTAAATAAACCTTTCTCTAACCCACAGCCATAGTCTGGTTTAACCAATAAAGTTACTTGCAGCTACCCACCTCCCCGCTCAGTAGTCCATGACCATTCTCCACACTGAGCTATCACCACACATATCTGGAATCGTTCCTTAGCACTGATTTCTTTTGTGGCACTGACGTTGGTTTAACACAGGCTATTCATTCTCCAGGAGGCCATCCCTCCTTTGGAGTTTGTCAGCCATTCCCCTCATGATTAAGTCCAAGCTGTATCATCTTTGACTAGTGTATGGTATGTCCTTCTAAAGGTACATGATACTCACTTGCCCCTTACTGGCCATATTTTGATCACTGAATAGCTACTATCTTTCCTTTTGTAACTAATAAGCAATCTAAAATTGATACTTCGAAATTATGTTAATACTCTAATCCTCATCAAACTTCCTCCCTTAGATTTAGCATCCATTGATAATTACTGTCTGAATTAGCTTTTACTATGATGGTAAAAGGGTCCTCGGCTAGCTTCAAAATTCCTTCTACGTTACTTAGTCAACATTTTACTAGAAGGAGTAATTTCCCCATGTATTATCAGTATGGACTCATATATTCTTATTTTATTTAATAGGTTATAACCCATCACTGTTCTTATTTATTTTGGTGCTCAAAAAGTCTGAAAGTGGGGCGCCTGGGTGGCTCAGTCAGTTAAGCATCTGCCTTCAGCTCAGGTCATCATCCCAGGGTCCTGGGATCGAGTCCCACATCGGGCTCCCTGCTCAGCTCGCTAGTGATCTCTGTGACTATCTCCGCCTCTCCCTAATAAATAAATAAAATCTAAAAAAAAAAAAAAAAGTCTGAAACTTGGCCAGAGAGTCTCTGTCACTTTTTAATCCTATCCTTTCCCACCCCATTTTCCCCATTCCCATCTGGTTTACCCCTCCACTGTTTCCTCTGCAAAAATAAGCAGATACATGATGTTCCAATTATCTTTTTTTCTTACAAAAAAGTAGCACAGTCCGTATTTTGCACTATGATTTTCACTTAACAATACATTCCCGGAAACCACTCTTATCAGTTCACAGTATCTTCCTTACTCTTTTGTACAGCTGCATATTATTCCATGGTACACACACACACATAGTTGATTCAACCACTCTTCTTGGTTTGGAAGATGGGTTTTTCCCAATATTTTGCAATTACAAACAATGTTACATCGAGTAACCTTGTGTGTATGTATTTTTGTACATATTTTCATATCTTCAAGGTAAATTCCTGAAAGGACTCTTGGTCAAATTCTAACTGCATGTATACTTCTGTTAAATGCTGCCAAAACAATGTCTTCTCACCAGCATATGAGATTCACTCTCTCACATCCTTGCTAACAGTATACTGAATTAACTGTATACAACTTTGCTATTCTAATGGGGGAGAAAAGGTATTATAGTATGGTTTTTAATTTGCATCTTATTAAAAGTACAGAACACATTTTCACAAGTTCATGTCCAATTTTACTTTTCTTTTGCAAATTGCCTGTTCATATCTTTTGCTCATTTTTCTATAGAACTTGTCTTCAACCCCCCTCAATTTTTTGAACGTTCTTTATATACCATTTCTGTTATCCCTATTTGTGATATTTGCTGCGATTTTCTTTCAATTTGGCACTAGTCTTTTGAAGACTTATTTATCATTTTAGCGAGAGAGAATGTGCATGGGAGCAGGGGGAGAGGGAGGGAGAATCTCAAGCAGACTCCCCGCTGAGCACAGAGCCTGATGTGGGGCTCGATTCCAGGACCGTGAGATCATGACCTGAGCCAAAATCAAGAGTCAGACGCTCAACCGACTGAGCCCCCCAGGCAGCCCATGACACTGGTCTTCTGAATGGTTACAGCGTCTGTGTGTTTTTCCGTTGTGCGATTACCAGCTGTCTTGGTTACACAGGCATTATAGTAAAGGCTTGTAATTGTTTTTATCTAACTACACTGGTTAAAACCTCCAGTACAACGTTAAATAGGGGTAGGGAACAGTGGGCATCTTGCTCTGTTCCTGACCTCAGTGGGGCTGCCTCTAATATTTCCACTTTAAATAAGATTTAGCTTGCTTTTCCAATGACAGCCACCATAACCCTCTCTCCCTCATTCCACGTCCACGACCCCTCTTTCTTCAACAGATCCCATCTGTCCAAAAATGTCCTCACAAGTATCTTCCACCTTAAAGAAAAAAAAAATTAAAACCTCCAGTGCTCACTTTGGCAGCGCATATACTCAAACTGGAACGTGCCCGGCACAGATGATGCCGCAAGCTGCCGAAGCATATCACGGTGTTAATGTTCACAGAGCACTGCTCAGAACCACCGAAGGGTGGAGACAAAGCAAATGTCCGTCAGCTCATGAATGCAACACAGGGAAACAGCATGTGGTGTTTATCCATACAACAGAATATTAGCCAGCCATAAAAAGAAGGGAAGTACTGATCCACGCTAAAAGACAGATGAACCTTGAAAAAAGTATATGGAGTGAAAGAAATTGACATAAAAGGCCACATATTATAGGCAAACCCCCGGAGACACACAGATTGATGGCCACCAGTCGGTGGAAAGGAATAAGTGACCATTTAATGGATACAAGGTTTCCTTTTGCGGTGAGGACAGTGTTCCGGAACCACACAGTTGTGAGGACTGAACACTTACTTGCTTACTTACCAAATGCAACTGAGTTGTACACTTTGAAATGGCCGAAAATGATGGAGCTGATGCTATATATGTTTTATGACCATAACAGAACAAACCAAACCCTCAACTCCATCTTATAAAGCCCTAATCTGGGATGCACCTCACTATCTGCTTTTCCTATGTCTGCACCAGAGCAGTCATGGGCTCAGAAAGCAGAGCTGAAGAGAAAGTCACACAAGGCAGACTGCCCCCAGTACAAACTGACGGTCACCCACCAAGTAATCCTACTGTGTCTCACAAACTACCTGGTTTTCCCATATTCGGAAACAGTAATTTCAAAACTTCCCCGTATTCTTCAAAGCTAATGTTTTCCCTAACTCCTGCCCAACAGCAGCAGGGGATCCTGCTTTCTCACGTCAAGAGAATTGAAACCGCTGGATTTCTGCTACCAAACCTCAACCTGCCTGCATCCACCTCCCGACCCTCCCTTCCTCCCCAAACTACCTCCTGCACGTGTGCCTTAGTCCCCTTGCCTTGTCTTCTCAGGCATGGAAAGAGTGGTAAGTCCATCAATCTTACAGCTTCAGTGATTCTCCTCACCCGCATCCTTACAACAGACTCTCCTCCTGCATATTCTTTTCCGGAATGTTTAGCTCGTTTCTTTAAGCATTCCCTCCTCATGAAGCCCCACAATCCCACCTCACCTCTGAGCATTTTCTTACCTCTCCTCATGGTCTTCCTCCTTGACAGTCAACTCCTCCTGCAGTGGCCGCTCACCCAGCCAGGCCCCACTCTCCCTAACGTGGCTCCTGCCCAAACTGCTCACCGCTGGCCGTCCTATCTGAGGGCGTCAGTGATGCCCACAGCTTTAAACCAAGTGGATGTCGGCCCTCAACTGCATGAGACTCTGCTGTCCACTCCCTCTTTCCTGGTCACACTCTGCCTCTCTGATCAAGTGTTCCTGTTGCAAACTCTTCCTTTTCTCCCTGGCAGTTAAATATTGGTGTTCGTTAAGATTCCAGGCTAGGCTTCTTATGAGTCTAAAGCAGGAGTCAGTAAACTTTTTCTTAAAGACTAGACAGTACATATTTTGGGTTTTGTGAGCCATGCATTGTCTTGCAGTTGCAACTCTGCTCTACCGTGCCAGTAGAAAGTAACCATGTGCAGTACGTAACAGTATGCGTATGGCTAAGTGCCAATAAAATGGACGGACGATGGAGCCTGAGTTTTATATAATTTCACATACCTCGAAATAAAATTCTTCTGATTCTTCCAATCAATTAAAACCGTAAAAACCAGAGGCGCCTGGGTGGCTCAGTTGATTAAGCGTCTGCCTTTGGCTCAGGTCATGATCCCAGGGTCCTGGAATTGAGTCCCACATCGGGCTCCCCGCTCAGCGGGGAGCCTGCTTCTCCCTCTGCTGTTCCCCCTGCTTGTGCGCTCTTTCTCTCTCTCAAAGAAATAAAATCTAAATAAATACATAAATCTGTAAAAACCAGGGGTGCCTGGGTGGCTCAGTCATTTAAGCGTCCAACTCTTGATTTCAGCTCAGGTCCTGATCTCAGGGTGGTAGATCGAGCCCCCAGTCGGGCTCTGCACTGACTGTGGAGCCTGCTTAAGAAGCTCTCTTCCCCTCTCCCTCTGCTCCCTCCCCACTAAAAAACAAACAACAAAAATACCAAGAAAACAAAAAAACAAAAAAACCCAGAAAAACTCCCCCAAAGCCGTCAAAGCCGTCAAAACCAGGCTTAGCCTGCAGGACATACAAAAGCAGGTGGTGGGGCAGTTTGCTGACCCCTACCCTGCGCCATCAGCCCTTTTACGGGCGTTTATCAGCACCCGTTGTCCTCACTGTTCACCTCTTCAACTGTCTGCCCTGGACATTAGAATAGAAATTTCAGGAGAGCTTCTTCACCATTTAATCCCAGTGCCTGGAACAGTGCCCGACTCAGGACAGACAGTTCATATACAGCGAATGCACAACAGCTCACTTCCTGTGGTCAGCCGTGTCACCTGCAGGACACCAAGCTGAAATCACAGCACCGCTCGGGCCAACCGCTCCCGCTCAAGTGCTCCCTGTTTTGTGGCTGGGCCAACACGCACACAGACGGTAGCGGCACAGGATGCTGCACTGAGGCGGTCTTTAAATGACACGGGGGCTGAACCCCTCATTCCATGGGGTCGCTGAGGCCCGGGGAGGTCAAGAGCCTTGTATGTGACCAGACCACGCAGCGCAGGACTGGCCTGGGCCCTAGGACCTCCTTCTGCCCTTTCTGTGAGACAGTGCAACTGCCCGGTCCCAGTCGTGTTGGCCGGAGCCCCCGGGAGGCATGCTTCCCTCGGCAGGCCCAGACAGCTGAGCCAGGGCAGCGGGGCCCCCGAGGTGCGGCCAGAGAGAAGAACGGCACAGGGCCGGGTGCGTGGGGGCTCCCAGCCTACCTGCAGGAGCTCCCTGGTGGGTTGTTGTTGCTTCTCTTCCAGCTGGGCGATCAGGCCGCTCAGGTGGGAGATGTTGCAGGAGAACTGGGCGACAGCGCCATTGATGCTATTGTAGATGGCCAGATCCAGCTCCTCGAGGCGGGCCAGGAGGCGGTACTCATGCTCCTTCAGGGAGTGATAGAGCTGCTCGAACTCCCAGACGATCTTCTCCCTCTCCATCTGGGTCAGGCTCTGTGCCGGAGACAGGGACAGGCACTGAAGGGGGAAAGGCTCCCTCCTAGAGCCTCCGCGTCTCTCCCCCCCACCCCCCAGCACCTTCTCCACCCGCGCGTGCTGTCAGACTTTACCAACCGGACACACAGCGCTGAGAGGTGAGTTTCCCCGGGGATAACAAAGAACTCGGTCCTGGGTGAGTAAGCACAGACGGTGCGAGAGGACAGGACGGCCTGCCCTGGGGGAAGCTGGTCCAGCCTTCCCGGGAGCACCGCGGACACAGGCGTGTGGGAGGACAGGAGTGCACCCTGTGCTCAGAGAGCAGACAGGCTTTCCTGGCAGGAGGAATGACGCTGGCAAGGAGACAGGGCCGCAACAAGTCTGTCCCGCAGAGCCCCTGAGCGTGGAGGGGAAGCCAGAAAACGTAAGAGGGCAGAACAGACCTTGTCCGGCAGGCCGGGTGGGGCAACACTTCGTTGCAACTGGGAACCATGAAAGGCAGCCGGGGAAGGGACGGGGTTGGCCATATGCCACATGGGGCCAGATTGGAACACTCCATCCTCGCACCATGGCCGGGACCGCATCCCTGAGGCCCTTCCGGTGTGGCCCATGCCGGCTTCTGGCCTCTGGGAGTGTTCCTCAACTACCCCCTCCTCACTGTCTGTGGGTGTGGTTCCCTCTGGGCACAGATTTGTTTCCAAAGCTAGTCTGCCCTTCCTTCCCCACCCCTCTCCCACTGCCGGGGCTCTACCGCTCCGTGCTCAACAAAGGGTCAGCAACAACCTTTGCTTACTCCTGGGGAATGTAGTTTTATTGGGGCACGGCCACACCCATCATTCACATCTTGTATTTAGCTGCCTTTGAGCTATGACAACAGAGTTGAGTGGTTGTGACAGAGCCAATGTGGCCCACAGAGCCAAAAATCCTGTCCGGCCCTTTACGGAAGACACCGTTCTCCGCTCCCCTCCTCCTGAGAATCTTCCCCCCATGAACCGTCCCTCACTCCGCCCTTCCTAAGCACTCACTGGGCTGCACACACCTTCGTTCCAAATCCTTTTGGTAAAGTCATAGCTCTCCTTAGCTAAAGTCCTTCAAAGACATAAGTGATACAATGTAACCTTAGAAATGGAACATTAAAGCTGAAAGAGACCTTAAGGTGCAACCGATTCTGTGCTTCTGGAAGGGGCTGCCCCAAGAGCGCTGGTGGCGGGACAACTGTGCCCAGTATGGGACGCCCTTGCAGGTCAGGACATTCAGCATCTCTGCCCTCCCCTCCCCAGTCACTCAGTTCCTCAAGTGACAACCAAAGGAACACCCACACGCCACAGGAGGGAAGGAGAGGGCAGCACCAGCCTTGCTGAAAAACCACAGGTCGAGCCCAACGTGCCCATTTCACAGAGGAGGAAACGGGCCAGAGAGGGTGTATCGCTCTCCCCATCCATCCAGCTGGCTAGTGTCAGAGCCGAGAAGTACGTCCAAGTGTCTTGATTCTCAGAGAAAGGCTTTTTCTCCTCTGACAGTCCTCCCAGAGAGGACACAACGGTTGTGTGCATGGGGATTCCACTCAGGCACATCAGATTATCCATCCGTCAGCCCTGCTTTCAAGCTAGAGGAGCTGAGGTCTCAGGGGAGTGTGCGGGCAGAACAAATGGTGGTACCTGAAGACATCAGGAGAATAAGTTCCCTGCCCAAGAGTTCCTTACTACCCCCTGGCCAGGACTGACAAAATTTCACAAGATGCTGCTAGACACTGCCAGTCTAAGAGTTTGCTTTTCAGATGCAGGCACCTCTTGGGAATTTCTCTGATTTTATTTACTGTTAAAAAAAATTGCTTGAGCACCTATGTGGTCGATATAAGGATATGTTATATATTTTTTTTTGGTTGTCAAAACAAAAGCCCCAAATATCCCTATCACAAATGAGCACATCAGTCTCTTGCTCAACCACTGTCAGCATCCATCTGCAGAATGTCACCAAAGGCGGCTAACCATGCCCAAGACCCTCACCACATCAGCGGTGTCAAGGATCCACCCTGATCTATACCAGACTAGCAGGTTAAACGTTTGATAGGTCAGATCCCCAGGGGTTCCAACATCAGCTCTTCTATCCCTTCCCCCCCACCCTTGTGAAATCCCTTGTTTCTCCAGGTGAGTTCCCCACTCCCATCTGGGGTTGTTTCACCCACACCTGGAAGTTCCGGGTGACCTGACTGGCTAAGGTTAAGGGAAGTAACACCAGCCTTACAAAACACAGAGTAGCTAACAGAAGCGATACTCTCTGTGAATTCCAAATACCCTTACCAAGAGTTCAGCCCGCGCTTGCTCTCCCTGCGCCCGGCGCCTCTTCTTCAAGTCCTTCACTCTTTTCAGGTGGTCCAGCTGGTTCTGGATTTGCTCCTGAGAAAAGCAAGCACAGGTGCACAGTTCAAGATTAGGCAGACCTCAGCATCAGCAGGGCTAATGTGCTTATCCCACGGAGCCCGCGTTCCCTGCTCAGAGCCGGTCCTGGCACTTGTGGACATCCGCAGGGCACAGGGGGTCTGCACACTCTCCTTGGCAGTCTGTGTGCAGCTCGAACTGGTGGGTCACCTGCCTATCCCTGGAAGGGTACTGCAGGGCTCAGTGGAAAGGGGAGTGGCCTACGAGGCTTAGAGCTGGGCTGTGACTCCACAGAAGCATACAGAGAAACTGCTGTGACCCCTCATTTTCCTCAGAGGCGGCATGGAAACACCACCTTCCCAACCTACTCCAGAGTTATTCCAGTGTAAAATGATACATCCGGAAGTGCCATGAATGCTAAGTGATTAATTATGCACGAATGTACCCACATTTAAACGTCACTGGGCACCTTTCTGTCCTGCAACCCTCCAACACAGAACACAACACAGCGCACGCGTTCCTCCCGAGCTGCCTAACAACTGTTCCCGTCAGCACTTCGCTTCCACGTCACTGTTTGGCTGTGCGGTCTGCAGATTCCACCGTTCACAAAGGGCTACCCGCTCCTTTTATTTCGTTTAATCTTCATGGTAACTGTGTGATCTGGAGTCTCACGGCGGTTAAATGACTTCAGCAGGAAAGAGCTGCTCTTTTCCGTGAGCTTCTAGAACAGGACGGAGCACAGGCAAGTGCCGGGGAAACGCTTGCAGACTCCGCGATGGGCACCTGCCTGGGGCGCACACAGCCGGGCAACGTCCGAGTGTGTTTTGTGTGAGATCATCTGTGATCCGACAGGCGCACGAGCGTGGCGATGTGTGCTGGTTTTACGCACATCCTTTCCACCGTCAAGGGAGGGAGGGGTCTCCGGGTGTAAGGTGCCCGGGAGCCGGCAGACACCGGGGCGGCAGACACCGGGGCACCTGGGGTGGACGGGTGGGGGTAGGGACACCTCTGGCTTCCTCAGCAGCTACAGGTTCTCCCAAATCTGAGTGCCGAGGCTCTGGAGCGGACGGAGAGGAAGTGACGGCTGGGAAGCACACGTCCGGCTCAGCCATTTTCTAGGCGGAAAAGAGGAAGCCCCGGGGCTCTCTCCCCCCTTTGTCCGCCGGCGCTGCCGCCCCTCCCGCGCCGCGCGGCCCTCACCTTGAAGCCGTCCACCGCCTCCTCGAGCGGCAGCACGCTGTGGCCGCGGTGCTCGCGGGAGCGGTCGCACACCACGCAGATGGGCATCTGGTCCTGCTCGCAGTACAGCTTCAGCGGCTCGCGGTGCTTCTCGCACACGCCCATCTCGCCCCCGGGCCCCGACGGCCGCTCGGTGCGCAGCTGCTTCACCAGCTGGGTCACGTTGGCCAGGTGCCGGTTGGGCCGCAGGTGCCGCTGCGGGAAGGTCTCCCGGCACTGCGGACACGACACGTTGGTCTCCGCCGCGCCCCAGCAGCGGGTGAGACACGCGCAACAGATGTTGTGGCCGCAGTCGAGCATCATGGGCTCGGCAAAGTACTGCAGGCACACGGGGCAGGTGGTCTCCTGCTGCAAGCACTCGGCCACGCTCCCGGAGGCCATGGCGCGGGCCCGCGGGGGCGCACGGGCATGGGCCCCGGCGCCCAGCTCTGCGCGGAGCCCAACTCTACCGCGCGCCCTCCCGCTCGCCGCTTCTGGGCGGCGCGGGGAGGCGGGCGGGCGGAGGGCGGCACCTCCCGGCCCGGATCTCGGACGCGCGCGCGGGCCCCCGCGTGTCTCGGCCCTCCCTGCGCCGCCGCGCCCTGCGGAGCGGGCGTGGGGGCGGGCCCCGGGGCCCCGCTGAGCCCCGCTGCGGCGCGACGTGGGCGGCCGAGGGGCGCCACCGGCCGCACTCGCGGGGCCGGCGCTCGGGGAACGCAGGACAACGTGGCCGCGTCCGAGCGGATCCCGGCGCGAGCGGAAGGGGCGGCCCCGGGGCGGGGCTTGGCGCGGGTCCCCCTCGCGACGCGCGTTCGCGGCCTCGGGTGCGCACTGTTCCTCTCGTAGCGATCGGGGAGGCCCCGCCACCGCCCGGGGCGCGACGCGCGGGGGCGCGCTCCTCGGGGCCCGGTGATCGCGGCCGGGACGCCGTAACCCCGCCTGCGCGCTGCGGGCCCCGCGCCGAGCTCCCGCGGCCTGGGCCTGGACCCCGAGGCTTTTGTTGGGTGTCCTGCCGGGCGCCCAGGCCTCGGCGCCGGTGCCACAGAGTGCGGGCTTGATGTGGGTGCGGGGGGAGGAGACGCCTGGCCTCCTCAGGAGGCCGGAGGATGGGAGTAGCCGGCTGAGTTGCACCATTCAGCAGCCCTACTTGCACTCGCAATTTTGTTTTTAAAAAGAAAGTCTTAATTATCTGATGCCAACATTTCTGCAAGACAAAATGAGTCAGACAAGCCCAGTTCGGCTTCTTCCCACTGTGCCAGAGCCAACTGGTTTACCCTTCTGAGCTTCGGCTTCCTCTCTGGAGAAACGGGGATGAGCATATACCCCAAGGAGGAAAACTTCATCACTTCTTTTAGGTTTTCAACCCGAGGGTGTTCATCCATTGGCGAAGAAAATACCCAGTGCGTGGAGTATTGATTAGGACCTAGCTTGCGTGCTCCTTCCTGAGTGCAGGAGAGCCAGAATCTCACTGTGATTGAGGCTCTGCGCCGTACGCATCCTTCCCGCCTTGCCATTTCCTGGTCTCCTTTGCTGGTTCCTCGGTATTGTCCTCACCCTCTTGATTTCATTGAATCCAGACAGCCTTGCCTTCCTTATTTCTCAACTTGCCTCTGTTTACTTTAATTTCCATTTTTACACCTTGAGCGAAATTATTTCAACACTCAGTTTTGCAGATGTTTTTTAGATGAGTTGATAGCCGGGTGACCGTGAGCATTTCCACTCATTTCCCTATTGCGAGTCTTTCCCTCCAGCCTCTTTATAAGAACACCTCCAGGGTGAGAATCATCCTTAGAAAAACCCTAAAATGCTCCTTTCATTCTCTCCCTTCGCACTCAGAAATTTTCAAAGCTTCCTTTTTTGCCACCAGGTCATTGTCCAAATCCTTGAGCGTGGGCTTCCAGTTAACTCTTCTGGCCTCCAACATGAAGTAACGCCTTCACTGTCGTCTTAGGAAGCCACAATCCCAACCCAGCCTCGCAGGGCTTGGGCTATGCCCACCACAGCCCTCTGCAAGCCTGGTCATCAGTCCTACCCCTTCTTCAGAGCATATAGCCTAAACAAACTGACCGCACTGACCTCTCTCCTTTCCAGTCAGCCTCCCATGGTCACACAGAACCTCAAATTCTGAGTACTTAGTTATTTTCTAGGGGAAGACTTTGACTGCCTTGCATAGAACCCTTACCTCCCTCAGAGTTCTCAGTCAGGGCATACATTTAAAGTAGGAAGTGACTTTGGTTTTCACATAGTCCAACATACTTCATAAATAAGGAAACTGATATCAGATGCTTAAGTAGGGACAGAGACTCCTCTCCAGACCCTCTATGCTCTCAATTTGGAGTCTCTCTAATCACATTGAAAGTAATCATTATTATTTATTTATTTTGTAAAGTGACCAGTGTGCAAACGTAAATGCCTGTTAGAGGCAAGAGGGGTACTTAAATGAGCAGCCCAGACTGGGGACCAATAGAGAAAGATGGGGACAGGGACTCATTGGAGGACCGATGTCCTTCCCAAGAGGTGGCTACTTCTCCTCTCTCGCTAAAGATTGCCATTGAGAATCTGGGCCCAGATTCAGCTCAAGAGAAGGCAGAAATCTGAATTTTTTTTTTTCTTCTTTTAAAGATTTATTTATTTTAGGGCGCCTGGGTGGCTCAGTTGGTTAAGCGACTGCCTTCGGCTCAGGTCATGATCCTGGAGTCCCAGAATCGAGCCCCACATCGGCTCCCTGCTCGGCGGGGAGTCTGCTTCTCCCTCTGACCCTCTTTCCCTCTCATGCTCTCTTGCTACCGTTCTCTCTCTCAAATAAATAAATAAAATCTTTAAAAAAAAAGATTTATTTATTTTAGAGAGAGGAAGCACGGGGTGGGGGAGGGGCAGGGGGAGAAGGACAAGCAGACTCTGTGCTGAGCGCAGAGCCTAATGCTGGGCTTGATTCCCAGGACCCTGAGATCATGACCTGAGCCGAAACCAAGAGTTGGACACTTAACCAACTGAGCCACTCCAGAAATCTGGAGGTTTGGTGTTTTTTTTTAAGATTTTATTCACTTATTTGACAGAGAGAGACAGAGTGAGAGCAGGAACACAAGCAGGGGGAGTGGGAGAGGGAGAAGCAGGCTTCCCGCAGAACAGGGAGCCCAATGTGGGGCTTGATTCCAGGACCCTGGGACCATGACCTGAGCCGAAGGCAGGGGCTTAACTGACTGAGCCACCCAGGCGCCCCAATAAAATCTTCTTTTTTCAAAAAGTGAAAGTACCATCTCAAGATGTGAGAGCAAGAGAGAGCAAGAAACAGAGACAGAGAGAGTAGGCGAGAGGGGTGCAGAGGGAGAGGGAAAGGGAGTGTGCAAGCCAGGGAGCTGCATATGCAGCCTGTGGGGTTCACCTTCTATCTTTTACTGATAGTTGTTAACTAGGGCAAGGACTTCTTGGAAGTAGGGTTTCCCGCCTTTTCTTCCCACTTGCTCAGGGGTTTCCTGTCGTGGCATCGCCATTGTGGGCCTGTCTGGTGGGATCCGGGTTCTCGTGGACGCGGCCAGGACAGGCCTCTGACCTTCCCCACAGCTGCCCACGGCCACCTCCTTGCTGGCCTTCAGGCATCTGGTTAGAGCCTCCCTAACTGTCAGCTCTGACACTGGGATTAACCTTTGTCCTTCTTTCTTCTTTCAGCCTGGAATGTGCACAGGATGGTAGGAGCTTGGGCAGCTGTCCTGGACCATGAAGCAATCTTGAATGCTGGAAGCCAATTAGGATGGTGTAGTGACAGGTGAATAAGCCTGGGTCCTTATACACTGCAGAGTGCTTACATCAAACTTCATATATGTGAGAGAGACTAAAGTCAGTGTCTTGTTTAAGCCATTTATTTGGTTTGTCTGCATATGCAACAAAAAACTAAACCTAACTAATAAAGGGGTGCCTGGGTGGCTCAGTCATTAAGTGTCTGTCTTTGGCTCAGGTCATGATCCTGGGGTCCTGGGATCGAGCCCCGCATCGGGCTCCCTGCTCAGCAGGAAGCCTGCTTCTCCGTCTCCTTCTACTGCTCCCCCTGCTTGTGCTCTCTTGCTCTGTCTGTCAAATAAATAATATTTGGGGTAATAAAATCTTTAAAAAAAGAAACAAAAACTAAACCTAACTAATACAATACAATTATTTTTAAATTTTTTCTTTCTTCGCATTTTTAAAATTTGAATTCAATTAATTAACGTATAGTATATTATGAGTTTCAGAGGTAGAGGTCAGTGATTCATCAGTTGCATGTAACACCCAGTGCTCATCATATCACATGCCCTCCTTAATGTCCATCACCCAGTTACCCCATCCCCCCATGCCCTCCCCTCCAGCAACCCTCAGTATGATTAAGAGTCTCTTATGGTTTGTCTCCCTCTCTGATTTCATCTTGTTTTATTTTTTCCTCTCTTCTCCTATAATCCTGTTTTGTTTCTTAAATTCCCATATGAGTGAGATCATATAATTGTTTTTCTCTGACTTATTTCGCTTAGCATAATACCCTCTAGTTCCATCCACGTCATTGTAAATGGCAAGATTTCATTATTTTGTTGGCTGCATAATATTCCATTGTATATATATATACACCACATCTTTTTTTTTTTTTAAGATTTATGTATTTATTTTGAGAGAGTGAGAATGAAAGAGAGAGAGTACATGAGAGGGGGGAGGGTCAGAGGGAGAAGCAGGCTCCCCGCTGAGCAGGGAGACTGATGTGGGACTCGATCCCAGGACTCCAGGATCATGACCTGAGCCGAAGGCAGTCGCTTAACCAACTGAGCCACCCAGGCGCCCTATACCACATCTTCTTTATCCATTCATCTGTTGATGGACATCTGGGCTCTTTCCACAGTTTGGCTATTGTGGACATTGCTGCTAACATTGGGGTGCATGTGCCTGTTCGGATCCCTACATTTGTATCTTTGGGGTAAATACCCAGTAGTGCAATTGCTGGGTCATAGGGTAGCTCTATTTTCAACTTTTTGAGGAACCTCCATACTGTTTTCCAGAGTGGCTGCACCAGCTTGCATTCCCACCAACAGTGTAGGAGGGTTCCCCTTTCTCCACATCCTCGCCAACATCTGTCATTTCCTGACTTGTTAGTTTTAGCCATTCTGACTGGTGTGAGGTGGTATCTCATTGTGATTTTGATTTAAAATACAATTATTATTAATAAAATATTTTATTTTAAAGATTTGTTTATTTATTTTAGAGAGAGAGAGAGAGAATGAGCATGAGCAGGGGGTGGGGCAGAGGGAAATGGAGAGAGAATCTCAAGCACACTCTGTGCTGAGCGCAGAGCCTGAGGCAGGACTTGATCCCATGACCCCGAGACCATGACCTGAGCCAAAACCAAGAGTCAGACGCTCACCCAGGTGCCCCTTAAATATTTTATTTTAAAATGAATTCCTAACCTACTCCTTTTACTCAGTCTAGCTGCCCTAAGGGTACCATTAATTTCTACTGATATTAGCTACGTCCAGAGGACACTTTCCCGTCTTTATCTTAATGGTTTTGGGGCATTTGACACTGTTGACCCGTCCCTCCTTGGACCATTCATCCTCAGGGCACTAAACTGAGGAGGACCGGTGAGGCCTGCGGTGTTTCTGCTTCCTGTAGCCTCTCTTCTCGGCCCCTGCCACGTGACACTGAAGTTAGTCTGGGGAAAGGAAGACTACTCAGGAGAAGCACGAGGCTGTAGGACAGTTAAAGGAAGAATAGGCTGCGC